GAATTGGAAGGGTTACGAGGACACGAGTTACACAGCCAAGATGCAGGCAAGGTACACAGACCTTATCGTACTCAACAAGCATGAACTGGTCAGCGAACGAAGGTTGGAGGACGTGGAAGATGCAGTGCTAGCGCTCGAGGTTGAGCCACAAATACCTAGGACAAAGAGCAGGAAAGGGTGGGTGGACAAGGATATTGTCTTTGGGCTGGATGCCCGGTTGGCGGGAGTCAAAGAGGAAGATGGAAGCGCGCATGCACATGATCATAGCCATGACCATGACCACTCGAGCGAGGTCGAAGTGCTTACTGTTACGCTAAAGAGCCAGGATAGGCAGGGCAGTGTGGACATGGCGAAACTCGCCAAATTCCTGGAGGATCCAACCAAAGACGAAGTATACCGCATCAAAGGCATCATATACACTTCTACTCCACCAAAGTCTTCAGATGCTGAGGCGGATGTACATCAAAATATACAAGAGGGACGAGCAAGATATATCTTGAACTGGGCGTTCGGACGGTGGACCTTTACGGCTGTGCCATTGCCAGTCAGCGAAAGCTCCAATGACGACGAGCCCGCACTAAGACTAACAGTGATTACTGCGAGATATGAGTCAACTAAGTGGAAGAAACAAACCGAATCAAGTGGACTGATCGCATTACAAGGCGGTGTCGAGGATTCCTTGATAGTGGAAAGGATAGCCTGAGTGGTGGGCGTTGGTGTCTCGATCTACCTTGCCCAACATTTAGACTTAAAGAACTTCATTTAATAGATTTCTATTTATCGCACGACGCATTTGCGCAAGTACTCGAACACTGCTCTTTCCCACTAGAGCCCTGGAGTGCTTGCACCTCAACAAGCGCTTCGGAAGAGGCTTAGACGTCACAACATATAAATAATGACTAACATTCCTTACAACAAATCAGTAAAGACAGACTTGCTGTATCTGTGACAGAAGATGCAATCACCAAAGTGGTGTATACTTCACGGCGATCCAACAATAAAGTTATGCATGTTTATATCAGGACTAACAAGAAGATTCTAAGTTCCGTGCTGAGAGTAGAAAAGATCTATTATAGGAAAAGACCAACTGGACTCCACCTATGCACTGCTAGTCGTTTATTCATGCGTAGAACCCTTTCCGTGACTCGCCATTCCAATGTCCTTGCCTCCATACATTCGTCGTCATCACCAATCGTCAGGTCGTAAGAGGGGTATAGAACGCGTGAGACGTATTCCTTTCATGAGATCATGTTCACTCAACTTGCTGAAAGCATTCATACCATCATCTCAAGTCGAGCGAGGGTTCTTTGAGAGTTTGCTTAGAGCACCAAGCAAACCTGTAGTGCTTGTCAGTGAAATGTCGGCTGTTATGATGAGAGAAAAAAACCTACCAGTTGCACCGTTGGGTAGTGTCGACATGGCAATTGAGTTGCGGTCACCCACGGTGACGGTCTGGACGTTGGGAACCTTCCAATCTTCCTTTAACTTCTCTGCCCATCGAAAGACACCCTCATCGCTCCGGTCATTTCCAGCCGCAAACACAAAGTCGGGTCGAGCTGTCTCTGGGTACTTGCTGAAGATGTACTGCGAAGCAGAGGCCTTGTCGAAGTCGATGGGCTCAATGACAACGGAGTCTTTGGTGGGAACCGCCTTGATGCGTTGCTGTTCACATGCATCGTTAATGTGGTTCGCACAGTCGCCGGCATGTCGGCTTGCGGAGTCGTCCTTGTCGGTCGGTTTGTTGTAGTGGAAGATAATAGAGCAGTGACGCTCCTCAACCCAGCTGCCTTCCACACGCTCGAGATAGTACTGTAAGATAGGCTTGACCGAGTCCTTCCATTTTACAGTCTTCTCTTCTTCAGGGAACTGAATCCATTCACTCGCACTGGGCTCGCGCAAGAAACAACCATTCTCGGCGATGAGACCGAGACCTCGCACGCGGTTAAAGATGAGCTCGGTCTCGCGAACAGTCCGACCGGTCATAACGTAGACAACGTTCTTCTCATCAGCGACAAGGTCGTTGAGAACGACGATGACACGCTCGGTGTTTGCCAAGATGGTGTTGTTCACAGATCCATAAGAAGCGAGGGTACCTTCGTAATCAAGGACAAAGAGTCGTCGCTGAGATTCCTGGTAAGTACGAGCAAGATTGCTGGAAGAGAGACGAGGAATCGACATGGTGTCGCGCTTGAACTGTTCCTCATGGACCTTGGCTAGATGGTTGCTCAGGTTCTTCACCCAGAAATCGCCAGTTTGGTGCATAACTGTGTTGCGCAACTTGGTGTATCTCCTTTCCTTTTCGGAGTCGGTCATCTCCAATGCAACTCGGAATGCTTCCGCGATGCTGTTGTAATCCCATGGATTTACGGCTAGATCGGCCCCGTTGAAAACTGAGGCACTTCCGGTAAACTCACTGAGAATGACGGGGCTGTACTTCTTGTCGCTCGCACGCCCATCTTGGCAGATGACGAACTCATGGCAAGTGAGGTTCATGCCTTCACGGAGACTCGTGATGGCGAGAGCGTCAGCGATGGAGAGCAGTGCAAGATATTGCGAGAAAGCAATATCTTGTCTTAAAAAGATGAGAGGGTTGTGCGTCAAGGTCGAGTGAACGGCATCGATACGAGTGACAATCTCGGAGACAGTGGCAGCGAGCTCAGTATCCTCAGTGGTGGATGTGGCGACTTGGATCATGACAACCTTATCTCTCCATTCTGGGTTCTTGTTCAAGAATAGCTCAAATGCCAACAGCTTCTGTCGGACACCGCGGATGTTGTCGAGCTTGTCACGAGCAACAATGACCTTTTTGCCCTCGTATCTCTTCTGCATAGTCGTGATCCACTCCAGAACCTCGGGCTCTTCCCGCGCCAGGGCAAGAGCTCGAGGGTCGATGCCGATCGGTGATGAGTGCACGTTGACGAAGCGGTTTTCTAGCTGGACACCATCTTCGGTCGCCTCGACTGAGAGAATCCTGCTACATGTCTGTAGGAAATGGTGGGCGTATTCTGGTGTCTGGAATGCAACTAGGTTAGCTCCGAGCATACCGTCCAGCAGCTCCTTCCGCGCAGCCAAGCAGCGGAACACCTCAGACGATGGGAAGGCGGTGTGGAGGAAGAAGCCAATCTGCGCATCTGGGAGCTTCTGGCGGATCATCTGGGGAACAAGACACAGATGGTAATCGTGGATCCAGATGACGTCTCCGCGCTTGTAGTTCTTGACAACTTTGTCTGCGAAGGCTTGGTTGACCTTGACATAGAAGACCCATGAGTGATCAAGGAAAGCCTTGCTCTTGGGGTGATCGGGGATGATGTAATGGAAGACTGGCCACAGGATAGTCTTGCAGTAGTGAGCATAGTGACCGTCGAAGTCCTTGTCACTGACGAAGACGGTAAGGGCGTCATGCTCCTCCTCGAGTTTCTCATAAATCTCTGTCTTCTTCTCCTCATTCAAGCTGTCTGTGGGGAAGCCGATCAAGCCCACGGTTATGGTGTCGCTGATGCATTTGTTGTCGACTGCACAACGCAGAGCGTTGGTAAGTCCGCCGTTGCCCTGGACAGCAGGCACAACAGTGTACTCAGTGGCCCATCGCGGGTCTGTTGTAGGCTTGCCGGCGTGTGAGCCCTTCATGCGCTCCTTCTGTGCTTGCGCGCGCTCCTGCGCCTTTGCGTATTCGAGAATTGTGTCAGGAGGTGCTGGCTCGGCCCTCGACATGGGCTGGTTGAAGAACAGGCCGGTAGTACCCCATTCGGGGACGTGGGCATCGCTACGTACCAAGCCCCGGGGGTCTGCTGGTTTTGGGAAATGAGTGGCAGCGCTGGGCTGACCAGGAGTAAAGAAGTCTTCGTGCTCAGCCATTCTCATGGGGGTCTTGGGCAGCTGAATATGCGATGGCGGCGCCCGCTTAAGGAGGCTTTGAGGCTGTTCGTCGGCTGCATTTTTGCTAAGCGGTCGTGCACTGCCTATGCTGGTAGCGGAGGACTCGCGGGCAGTCTCGTTCAGCTTTGGCGGAGCTGGTTGTGGTGGGCTTGCGGGGTTGGACTTGGACTCGTGGAAATCGACAGTATACGGAAGGAAACTAGCTGCGTTAGATGGATTGAAGGCGCAACGCTACAAGTGATGACTACAACGCGCTATCTACAGGCAGGATGAGCACAAGGCGGTTACCTACAGGGAGACGACGTGGGTGGTCATGTTGGGCAGCAGTTTGGCGTCGACGCCGGCTGGTCAGAGATTGTGGTTGTAGAAATGGCGTCAAGATTGCGAACAAATATAGGTGAGAGAGGCGGGTCCTGTACAAGGGCTCGGGGGAGACAAGGTGAAGTTATAGAGGCGGTGGGAGCGCGCAGTGAAATTTCCGGTAGATTCGATGGATCGTGATGAAGCCCGTCCCAGGGAAAGCAGGGCTTACTGCCGCAGGTAAAGTTGGCGCCCAAGCAAGAAAGAGCTACCGGAGGTGTAAGGGGGTGAAAAGGAAAAATCCAAGATATCTGGCTGTTGTTCCTGGACGAGGCGTGCGGCTTACGGCAAGGGGTGTACTTGATACTTTCACGTCCATGGCCGCAAATTGCAAGATTTCAGCCCCGCGGTATGACGTACGGCCACACCGGACGAGCACAGCGCGTTGGTGGGCCTCTCCACCGTCTCACAGAACCTTGACTCGAGGATTGTCATATTTACGCAAGTACCACGGAAACAAGTCGTCAGACAAATCTACGCCGGCGCATCCTCTGCTAAAACCTGACAGCTGCGGGAGCTTCCAATTTAGTCGCCAATCACACGGCCCCGCACACCAATCAGAGAGACTACGGCGCGTGCAACCGTTGGGGCTATCAATCATAGCTTGCTTCGATCCTGTGCGCACCTTCAGTGTCCCGATGCCAGTCGCCCCGTCCGTTCAGCCCGGGCAGTTTGCAGCCTGGATGCGACGAGGGCGCATCTCGATGAGGGCTGGCGGGGAAAATGTTGAGTCTTTTAGTAGCGCTTCGGCACCTTGCGCCGTCATGGCATTTGCACAGAATCCGATATTGCGCGAAGAATCCGATGTTCACCTGCATCAAGACCCTCCCACGGCTCCCTACCCCCACATGCTACTGTATTTTCCATGCATGCGGACTGCAGAGACTCTGCAAGTCGCTTGTGTTGCATGCATGCCTGAGAACTGACGACAAGGTCGCACAAGTCCATTGCGTGTTCCTTCCCCTCAGTATTTTGTCGGGAATCTCACGAGGGTCCTGAGATATCATGCATCCTCCAACTGAGACCGAAACATTACAACGACTTCTCGCTTCACCCTGTACATATGCAGCCCTCGTAAGTAACCGGTTGCGGTGTATGCGAAACCATCATGTCTTCTTGACAAACTGTACATATTGACCGTACTAGTGACACATTGACGAGCTATTCATTTCTCCAGATCAGACCCTCTTCTTCCTTTTCTCACTCACACTCTTGTCCCCAGATACCCCAATTCCCAACAGATACCCCGTCCTTACCAATACCGGCAGCACATTCAACGTGTTGGTTACTACATCCTTGTCGCTCCAGCCCCCAAAGTCTAGTATCCCGCTCGTCCCCATCTCACACCAAGCCGCATAGCAATGCCCCAAGTCACACAGCACCAGCCCCAACACTATCCACCACCACGTCCTCCTGTCATCCACAACCCGCATCAGAACACCCTCTGTGAATGCAAAGAATAGGTATGCTGAAGCGAGCTGGTCATAGGCGATTTGTGAATCCGGGTGGTAGGCCGACGTTGCCGGCATGAAGGTGAAGTATTGCGCCGGTGCCCAGTGGAGATGGTATACGCCGCCGAGGGCGAAGAAGGGTTCGAGGTAGAGATGCCAGAGGCGATAGACGAAGGGCGTGTTTGGAGGCGCCATGGTTGCGTGTTTGCGGGGTGGTTGCGAGGTAGGCGTGTGAGGTTATGAAATGGGATCGCTTGTCCCGTTGCATAGGGTAGGTTCTGTGATCTCCGCAATGCGACGAGTGTCCAGGTGATGTACACACAAAATACCAGGCCTTGACTGTACTTTCTTATCCTCGAACCGGTCCAAGACTTATGAGACACCAATCGCAATCTATGACGTAGTCTGTATTCTCACAAAGTAAGGGACAAGTCGCAAGGGCATGCCAAGTTTGTTAGTTGCCCTGCCGGCGGGTAGCGGGCGGACAAGACTATTACTGGCGGAACATGCCCACCACGATCGACAAGTATTCTACAAACTGCCCTGTTGGGAAGTGTGAGCAGGGAACGGACCTCCGGTATAGACAAGCAGATGACTACGTTTTTTCCGTGTCCCTCTTGCTGACTTGTTTCCCATGTCAAGGCGATTGGTTCGGGGGACGGAGGGGAACTAGGTAGTTATGCCACGCGCGCGAGGTATGACCGACATGTAACACGATATGTAAAGGAGGCTGTACACGTATGTATCGATGACTTCGGTGCGGAGAGCGTCGTATGCACGGTAAAATACGTGGTGAGACGGTTGAGAACTTATTGACCCCTTCAGGTCGTAGTTGTTCCAGCAACAGTGTGCATATAAATTCTACAAAGATTATAACAATACATATTGGCCAAATTCAACATCATCTCCAGAACTGTAAAGCCCTATTCCTTTCCTTCTCTGGTCTTGCCGCACGTACATTAATTTTCTGGCAAATGCCGGCGAAATGAAGCACTCGTTTAAATCCGGTGACCCGGCGCAGGTTGTAGAGAATCACCTTTGAATCGGCCATTCCCATGACACAGCTCGGCATAATGTCATGCTGCTCGCTGGTTGCGGGATAGCGCTAAGCCCTGGAAACTGACCGCGAGCTGTCGACTAGGTCGTGACGATACGCTTCCTGCTTCCAACATTGGTAAATCTAACGTTTCCGAAGGGCAAGGCATAACGACGGGATTGGGTAGGGCAGCAGACCCTGCAGATGGTAAAGGGTACCGCGGAACCTGAGACAGACCATATCCTCGGGTCCGCGGCCTGTTGTATATATACTCCCATCATTCCATCCTGCCCTCTTGCACGTACACGTTGTGAGGTCCGGCACCGCAGTGTAATGCGCCGCTCGCCAGCTGTGTAAACTTGGCTTCAGCAACGTCGCCCATACAGTGCTCGACAAAGTAACGCGCCGCGAGTTCGTTCGCTGCCAGCATGGTTCCACAAGTCCCTACAACCTTTGTATCTTCGCCCATATCGCGGTTTTTGCTGCTGGTCACAACATGAAATGCGGTTCTGCCGTCGTGCGCCCGTGGGATCAGCTTCTGTGCATACAGGGCATCGCGCAGGGCGAGGGGGTATGTGTTAATGTCACCTGGAACGATGGCAGGTTCGGCGCGGCGATGGACCAGCTGCTGGGGTGCGGCGGCCTGTAGCGGAGGTTGAGAAACTTGTGGATAGGGATGAGGTTGCGTGTATGCGTGAGGAGTACCGGGCGCTGGGCCGCTGACTACGGGGGCAGGAGCCAAGCGCGGCTGTTGCTGTTGATGCCGAAGTAGGAAATCGCGATGCTCATCCAGTTGTTTCCTCAGTGCGTCGCTCGTTGTTTGAAAGATGCGCTCCTGGACGCCTGGACCGAGGTTGCGCGAATAGTGTCGCAGGTCGGCGCTGCAGTCAAGCTGCAAAAGGCTGTGCTGGCGATCAAAGCCGTGTGAACGTGCTGGAGCTGTTGTTGTCATTTTCAGGGTTGCTGTTTGCGCGACTTGACGCGGCTATATTAGATGGAGATGAAAATCTGATATGATGTGAATGACGCGGATATTCGCAAATCCTGGAATCCCAGAAGGCCCGGAGCCATTTCCTCCCGTATTCGCGTCTCCACGTGATATGGCGTGGCAGTATCACCACGCGAACACTTGAGGCATGTGTCGTTGCTTTTGAGCCATTGTAGGGGGAACTTATTTTTGCTACCCTTCACGGATGCGTATCTGTGCTACAGTATGCCTGAGGCTTCTATGCCGGTTCCACATTTTGTACATGGGTCGTTACATGACGTCGTGAGATTGGTAGGCGTGGACATTTGTACAAACAGGGCGATCCTACTGGGATGCTCCTTAACAAGAACGCGCCGAAACCCCACCAACACCCACCACGAAACACCATGACAACAAAAAGTAATTATTGAGCCTCCTTGGAGGAAACATTGTACAAGCAAACCTCAGATAGCCATGTGAACGTTGGGCAGAGTGGAGCCTTTAGTAAACCTTAGGCGTGTTTCGTACTTGTCATCAGAAGCGGCTTGGAACCTGCTGTTGCGGCAAGTGCTCCCGCTTCACTGATTGTGTAGCTGATGCTTGTTGCACGCTTTACAGCCCGTTACCAAACGCCTGATGAGCCTCGTGCTGAAGAGCCGCATAGTACTCGCAGAGGTCAGGGAAGGCTACAATGGCCTGCTGAACCGGGAGAGGGACGTCGCAGACGATCTTGCGCCAATCGTTGTGGCGCTCGCGCACGACATAGATGAGCTCCTTCATGCAGTTCAACGACATGAGACACATCTTACGAGCCCACTCCATGTCGAACGAGCCGTTGGGGTGCTCTAGATCCTGCGTAGCGGGGTTGATCAAGACTGACCAGGGAAAGTTACCGCGTGAGGAAGATGATGTTATGAGCGGTACAGCAGGCAATCCTCCATAGGCCGCACCCATCTTGAAATACTGAGCCCAGACATGGTCGAAGTGCTTCGCGAAAGGACTCGGTGGGACCCAGTTTCGAGAGTCATCTGAGGCATGCTGACCCTGGCGGAAAGCCATCTCTTGCACAGCTAGATACTCAGGGACATCAGTCATCGAAGGCGGAGATGTGTCGAAGGGATTGGCCGTGGTGGATGGTCGACGACCGGACGAGCGCCAGTTATCAGAAAGTTGGCTAGCATGAGAAGTGCGACGTTGCATGCCGAAGTCGTTGAGATGGTCGACTTTGCCGAACTTCTTCTGACCAGAATCACCGTGCTGTTGAGAAGTCTGCGGAGAAGCGGAAGTCGGTGAGACAATGGAAGTCATGCCGCTTCCGTTGGCTGTCATCCGGCGAGCTCGTTGAGGAGTTGTTGGCTATATTAATGTTAGGGCTAGTCTCTACACAGCATTCTGGGGTTAAGCAAGGCTCACAAGCTGCTTAACCTGTAACGCTTGATTGTTGACTTGTCCTCGAGGTGCACTTATGGCATGGTCTGCGGGATCATTGGCGCCCAGCTGCGACAGCGATTCTCCAGAAGAAGAGAATGAGTCGGTGGAAGCGCTTCCATGGGAGCTATCCTCTACCACGCTCGGCAAAACAGTGAACTGATCGCTTTTATGAAAGCGGGCGTTTCGACCACTTCGATGAGGACTGCCATAGTTGCTTGCCATGTTACCTTCAATGAATCTGCCCTTGCTGGGCGTGTGCCTCTCGAGGACTGTCAACAACAAGACACAAAAGCAAATGCAAGAGCAGACGACTGACCTGAGGTGACGAAGACATTGTTTGTACAATTCTAGCAACAATGGTGAGTTGGTGGTGGATACGACTGTGTGTGCGACGCGACCGTATGAGCGCAGGGCAGTGATGGAGAGAGCGAGAAGGGTGCGGTGATTTGGCGATAAAAGCTCCCGCCAAGCTGATAGCTGGAACAAACAGGTGACTTGAAGGGATCGTCTTCGTGTTCAACCGCTATGAGGTGTAACGAGAGCTCAAAGTGGAGCTAAGACACGCGATCTTCGTCGTGCCTGCTGTTCTAGTGATATGAGTGGTGAAGGTGAGTCGACATGCAAACGAGGAAAGAGCGAGAACATGGCGCACAGCATCCAGAGATAGTGCTGGATAGACAAACAAGAACGCAAGATTAGCTAGGTACCGTGTCATCAGAACGGCGTCGAAACTATAAAGATTTATAATACCGAGGAAAAGGACGCGACGACGTTGAATAGCAGTCCATGAGCTTGGGCAGTAACATGAACATAAGCGACGAAGATAAACACAGCGAAAGATCAGTTTGTGTATACAAGATTCGACTCATTAGGATCCTAGGTAGGCGAGGGTAGGCCACAAGTGAGATGTGCAATGTGATAAGAGGAGTAACAGGAACTGCAAAGAAGTGTGTGGGCGATAGAGAATAGAATTTGCAAGACCTAAGTAACGAGAGAGGATTCAAAATGACATGCTAGAAGTGCAGAGGTTTGCATACTTAG